GCAGCCCTGCAAGTAGGAGGTGTAGCTCTCTTTTGGGGGATTTTTTATCCGATTTGACATTTAAGAGACAACCCTGCAGAACCTGCGTCAGTGTGTCGGCATCGGTCTGTTTCTCTAGTTTTCTGCAGGTACTTTGCTACGGAAAATGTGTGAGAGAACAGGAGAGGATACTTTAAGGAAGGATGAGGCTAAGGAAACAAGATGAGGAGATATACTGTAGGTGTTCAAATTGGTAGAAGACAAGGAAACAAGATGATGAAAGGAGAGGAGAGAATAGCAGAGAGGAGATGAAAGGAGGTGGAAAAAAACAGGAGTAATAGAAGTGGAGAAGGAAGGAGAGGAGAGGGTGATGCACTGAACACTGTGGCCTTTCAGCAGTGCTGCCAGTAAGGGAGTGTATACCAGCACAGTGTGTACTGATCCATGCCCACTCTGTCACACACAACCTCTCTTTCTCTATTTCTTAAATAGCCTAGACTCAAAAAACACATTCTCCTTCTGCCTAACACACCACCCAGACGTCCATACTGCAGCCACTTGTTGAGTCATGACGTATCCAGTCACGTATTTCAGTTTCAGCAGTCCCCCGGCAAAGCGAACATTACTTCCATTTAATAAATATAGTATGCATGACATCAGAGATAAACATAAACTCTCTGGTAGTGGGGGGCGAGGGAGGGGGGTTGAGTTTGCGGTGTCCATTTGGCTCACGGCGCTGCGGCTTTAGCATTCCATGCCTTTTTACTCTGCCTCACGACCGCCGCGTTTCCTGTGAGGCAGGAAGTCAGCTCTGTTTCCTGTCACAGTCCTCTTTCATGTGGTCACTTCCTCATGTTTTGCCAGCGCCACTCTGTTCTATTGACTCAGAATACGGAGCTGCTGCTCCTGGTGGTGGGTTCAGGCAGAACAGAGAAAACATTTTTTTTATGACCTCTGGCTTTCAGAGACAGAGTAATGTCAAGTTACTGCCTGTTTTCACAACATTTTTTATGATTACATTCCTCAGTGCAACAAAAAGTTATCACTGTCTGTCCACAATCTTCTGTTTTCTTTCCAACACTGTATTACTGTCTTTTTTTTGTTTAAAAAAACAAAATAACTCTACTTTTAAGATGGGACAATGTCGTCATATCTTTAGACAACACCAGATAGGACCATCCTCGAGCCACGGTAGAAGGGGATTTTGTAACCTGCTGAGGAATGTTGATTGTGATGGCTGCCTGGCTGGGAATCCTGCCTTTACTGTTTCCTAAGAGATACTAACAAGTCGGCTCTGATTACGATTGAACTTTGCACACAGTGATTAGCTGGAATGTTAAGATTCCAGTGGCCGGAGATATATCAATGTCACATAAGGTCGCCGCATCCAAAAGAAAAAAAGTATTTTGTAGAAGAAACTTTTAAATAATATATTAATTTAAAGAAGCACACAATACAATAGGCCTATTATCCTAACTTTTCATTCATACATGTCCATGAGTGTGTTAGTGTCACTCAGTGTATGACTGTGTTCATGTGCGTGTGTTCATTTCAAATCGCGTGTCGATAGGACTGGCTGCAGTAGAGAGAGCAACAAAATCAAAACCATACTCCACTGCTGCCATTGAGCTAAAAACATGAGCTGGCTCTTAAACACACGCACACGTGTGCACACACACACACACACACACACACACACACACACACACACACACACACACACACACACACACACACACACACACACAGTGGGAGACGAGGCTTTTCCATTGGCCCAACTAGACACGCTCAGCCACACTCCCCACACGGAGTTCTGCCCAGTTTTTGGTATTTCCCATCAGAACAGTTTTGATGACCCTTCATGTGTACTCCTACACTTAAATAAAGACTTTAAACCGTTTTTTTAAATGTTCTGCACCATCACAACAACCAGTGTATTGCCTGTGACATAAGCCATAGAAAACAGAACCTCTAAAGCAGGGGTGGGGAACCTCCGGCCCCCGGGCCGTATACGGCCCGCGAGACCATTTGGTACGGCCCTCGAGGTAATTTATAAACACACGCAAAAAAGAAAAACATTTAAGAAATCTAGACCGCAAAATAATTAAACAAGCGAGTGCCTGTTTTTCCTGGCCAAGGTCAGGGTCCTTGAACACAACACGAGCCTAACGTGTCATCACGTGGTATATGTCTCGTCTGACAGGGGTGTAGTTCTGCCGGAGAGCAACAGAACGCCACTCCGGGCCGGGACTTCACAAATGTCAGTACCCATAAGGAGCCGTACACATGCCGCAGTTTTTGCGTGGCTGTGTCTTAGTTGAAAGCCCAGTGGCGATCTGTCATACTGATCATACAGTCAATAACTTTGTTGTTATTAGCATCTGGTTAGCTAGCTATGCTAACGAATATAAGAAGCTTTTTCTAAAACCAGTGAGGTAAAGGCACATCTTTATATGATCATTATAGTTATAAAAACACAAGAGAATAAAGTAAACAGGTATAAAATACTATATGATAGTAAAAAAAAGTTGTTATCAATAAACAAGAATACAGTTTGAAAGGGGAGTGATTTGTAAAATATCCATAAAGGAAAAAAAAATCTGTTTACAGTTCAGTTTCATGTGGATGTTGAGAGATGTATCCATAGATCTCTTCATTTTGCTCTCAAAGTGCACCAGATTGATGGTTTTAACTTCAACATTTAAAAAAAAAAACTTCCCGGGGGAGCATGGGACCCCCCTAGAGGAGGTTAGGTCCCCCCCCACTTAAATCATGTTCACATGGATAGGAAACTAAATACATTTGCACACATCTTGTGTCCATATCTGTCTGTTTTGGTGGTCATACCACAACCGTGCACGTGCATGCATCCGCGAGTCATGGTAAGATATCTGGATTAAGAGGTTGCTTTTTCTTTGCACAGCATGAAAGAAAGGCCAAATGAATGGGCTGTGATTTTAGTATTTTTAAGCAGAGGTCAATCATTTGTACGGCCCTCGGAGGATGTTGAAAAAATTGAAATGGCCCTTGAGAGGAAAAAGGTTCCCCACCCCTGCTCTAAAGTGACTTTAGCTGCAAGTTTCTCCTTCCTGTCATCAGGAAGATATAGGGCCGTTACAGGACATCCCGGCGTCTGCTCTCACATTGCAGTCATTCCTTTTTGCAGCACAGCTGAAATTGCCAGCACTCTTAGCAGTCATGGGAAAGAGAGGCTCATGACCAGACTTTTATCCCCGCATTTTGTCATAGCTACCGATGTGCACGAGGAGGTGGGGGGGGGGAAGCATTTGCTAGGCTAATCAGGTAAGGGCTGTCACGTCCTTCAGATCATGCAAACCAGCCCAGAGACGATTGGCTGAGGCAGTCAGGTCATTTGAGTCAGAGTTTCATTCATTTGTGAAGGTCCCGTTTTCAGACAGCCCCCAGGTGCCCTAGTGCCTGAGGTCCTCCAGTGACAAGCAGTAAGAGGTGGAGGAAAGTAGTTGCAGCACACAGTAGGACACATGCATCCACTCATGGTCCAGATACTCGTGACTGCTCTCCTCAAAGAGTTGTATAATGTCCTCTGTGACTCAAGAGGGAGCTTTCCATAGTTTGAGAAAATGACCCTGATGATGTCATCGTCATGTCACTAGGGTTAAATGACACTTACAATTGACACACACAGAGAGGTTGTGGGGTATTAAAAGTGTCGTCAATAACAGGGGGATCTGATAAACTACAATATTAAGTTCTATTATTGAAAATGTAGGATGTAATTTCTCAAGAGTTTGAATACCAGAGACTTGAAAGCTGGATATCCCAGTCTCTTCCTCTTTTTAAATGTTTTATAGTTGTCTCATGCAAGTCTACCAATGTTGTGGAAGTACAATAATTCCTTCTTTATTAGGCAAAAAGGCTACATTGCCACCACTGTTTCTATCTTTTCATGTGTAAGAATGTGCTCTTCTTTTGTGTTATATTATCGTAAAATAAGAAAAAGTTTGAAGAAATTACTTGGCTATAAACTAAACAAACCATTAAAGTCGAGAAATAATTATCAATGAAAAGATTCAAGAATGAGAGGTGGTAGAGTTGAAGAGAAGCAGAGGTGAAGGCAGAGCAGAGGGCAGACTAGGAACCAGATGTGAAGCAGTGACTCACAGCAGGAACAGGCCTGATGACGTTGGCCACTATGCACGCTAGGCTCTGCATGTGTGTGCACTAGGAGTTCCAGACTTTCTTCCAAAACAACAAGCTTTACGCATGCACAGTAATGTCCTGACAAAGGGCTTATTACTTCATGTTATGGCCCTGACTCGATACAGAGCCACAATGTAAATTACTTTATGAGGGTAAATATTCAGTTTAATAACAGTTTGTTCTGATTTGAAAATGATAACAAATGAAGTGTGAAGTGTTCCAGTAAAGTAGGACAGAAATAGTGTCTCACTTTCTGTGGTTTGCTTAGCAGACGTTTGCCCAATATTCCCGCTCTTGTTTGCCGTGTTTTAATAATGCTTCACTAGCTTCCTGCACAAAAATTTGTTTTTCCACTGGGGGTGTCACTAAGCAACGTTAGAGCACACTATTAATGTGTCTGTAAGGAGGAAAGATTAGTCTGTTTCCTCCCTTTGATTCAGTCTTGGTTCAGACAAGACACGTAGTCAGGTGGAATGTGAGTGTTGGTTTAATTGTGTTTTACAATGGGCCCCTCTGTTATTGTAAAGGAAACAAAGGCCCACATATAGAGTATATTTGGAGATAAGATTATACTTTACTGTAAACTGTGTTCTTTCTGGATGTATTGCTCATGGAGTAAAAGTACTGCGTATGTGAGTGCACATGAGTTTATTTGGCTTTAGATTGTTGAGTGACCTTAAATTCCCCCCTAAAGCCACATTCTTTTTTAAAGAGAGCCACCTGTACTGATGGATTTGCACTTGTATGCTAAAGCAGATCTGAGGTGTTTTTGAAAAAGGGCACACACACATCTCCCTGCTTGTACTCACCCTGCTTCTCGCTTTCTCCCTTTCCTTCAGAACTCCATTAGACACAACCTGTCACTGCACAGCCGCTTTATTCGTGTCCAGAATGAGGGGACGGGAAAGAGCTCGTGGTGGATGCTGAACCCGGAGGGGGGGAAGAGCGGCAAGTCCCCGCGGCGCAGAGCCGCCTCGATGGACAACAACAGCAAGCTCACCAAGAGCAGAGGAAGAGCAGCTAAGAAAAAGGTGAAGACATAGAGAATCCAGCGCAGGCTTTTGTGGAACTACATAGCTGATGTTTAACTTTTTTAACCAGGATTTAGTTTTATTTCTGTCTCTATACTCTCTCTCTGTCTATTCAAGATTATTTTTAGTATGTATTTTTTCCAATTACGTCTGACATACACATATGTGACACTGATGACACTTCTCTGGCATATAAAATACAGTATGTCTATCGGTACACTGACAGTCTCCCTGTCCCCCCCCAGCTGTCCCTTCAGGGAGGACCTGACGGAGGCGCAGACAGCCCCGGCTCCTACTCCAAGTGGCCCGGCAGCCCCAACTCCCACAGCAACGACGACTTTGATGCGTGGAACAGCTTCAGGCCTCGGACCAGCTCCAACGCCAGCACTCTGAGCGGCCGCCTGTCGCCCTTCATGCCCGAGGACGAGCTCGGGGATGCAGACGTACACATGGGCTACCCAGGAGCCGCCGGAGCCAAGATGACCGCCACGCTGCCCAGCCTCACAGAGATGACGGGCTCTCTGGGACACAGCTCTAAGAACGTCATGGACAACCTTCTGGACAACCTTAACTTGCTTTCGCCCAACAACTCTCAGGTTGGAGGCGGGGCGACGACCCCCGGATCCTCCCAGTCCTCCCCCTCTCCGATGATGCAGCCGAGCCCTGGGTACCCCGCCTACAGCTCCCCCAGCATGGCCGCGCAGCCTCAGCAGGATTACCGCAAGTGTGTGTACGGCCAAGCAGGAATGAACAGCATGTCGTCCATGTCTATGCAGACGCTGCCTGAGAGTAAGCCCAGCTTCGGGCCCAGTATGGGTCAGTACAGCTGCCCCGCAGGGCTCCTGAAGGAGCTGCTGACGTCAGACACAGACCAGCACGGAGACCTCATGCCGTCAGTGGACACCGTGGTGTCTCAGTCCAGCGGAGGATGCATGCTGCCGCCGTACAGCAGCAGCCAGCATGCAGCCAAACTCATGGGAGGAGGGAGTGTACATCCGCACGGTCACTCTCACCCTCACCCCCACAATGTGCACAGCCAGGCCCCGGTCACGTCACAAGCTATGAATGGCCGGTTGCTCATGTCCCTGAGCCACGGTGGGGGCAACACACGTTTGCCTACAGTCAAAAGCCCCATGCAGATGCCTTACGGTCTCTCCAGCCACCTCAGTGTGGGAGGCATGCCGGGGGGCTTCTGCCCTCTCAACACCAACGGATACGGCCGACAGGGAATGCCACAGCCCCTGCACCCGGAGAAGCTGCCCAGCGACCTGGACGACATGTCCATCGAGAAGTTTGAGTTTGACATGGAGACGGTGCTCCATGACACTCTGATGGATGGGGACTCCCTGGACTTCAACTTCGAGCCAATGGTGACCCAGCAAGGTTTCCCCCACGGAGTGAAGACCACCACACACAGCTGGGTGTCAGGGTAAATGTGCTGTTGCTCTTTTGGTAAAAGGCACACCCAGAACTAATTTGACACAAAACAAGTGTATGTCAGGATGTTTCATCCTCAGCCTAACTCCAGCCGCTCTACCATCAACATTTCTGTTTTACGAAAAACACTTTTGGGATAAATTCTGCAGACTGACACTGGCCGTGATCAGCGTGAGAGCCCCGGAACTGGTGAAGATAACATCTGAATTATTTTTTTGAAATATAAAATATCCTGTACAAACTAAGTGCCAAACATGTTTTGCCTTAAACTAAGAGCCAAACTGAAACACACCTCTCTAGTTTACTCAAGGTCACAGATGCTATACTGTGGTTGTGTCTCTGTCACTGCCAACTACATCTCATCAGCAGCAGCACAATCTGTAGAAGTGCACAAGCTCAACCCATGATGTTTACTGTGTTTCCACAATCAAACTTTTCTATGTACAGTGCAGTGATAATTAATAACCATTACAGAAGAATTATGAAGGTAATCTGGATCATGGGTTTGTGGACTGAGAGAGAGACTTCTCAAGGATGATGTTACAAAATGACTCACTTTGTTATTGCCTGAATATACTTAATGTCATCATACAGTTTGTAAAATCAGGCCTCTTATTTTCTAAGACTGTAAATATTGTTTACAGAGCAGAAACAAGTCAAGGCAGCAGAAATGAGCTCACGTTGAAAACTGGATTGGACTCTTTCAAACACATTGTGTGGACAGATCTGTGCTTGAAGATTCTTCTCTATCAGGCTGTAAAAATGATAACACACTTTTTTGATTTCTTGTACATACATTAAGAATGTATATTAAAATGATGTAGTGGATGTTTACTGGATTTAGTATATATTTGAGACCTAAATTATTTGTGGCTATTATAGATAGATGCTGGTGCAGAACCTGCACTTAGAATTGTTCTGAGTCTCTGTCACTCTGAACCTTAATACCACAGGGGCCTATTTATTGTGCCTAACAAAGGAGATGGCGTCTGCAGCTTGAAGGGTTTTATATTGTAAATGTCTACGGTCCAGAAGATACTAAAATCCAGCAGTTTTGAAGAAAAGTATGGTGCATTCTTTTTTTTTTAAGCTCCCACTTTTCTGATTTTAAAAGTCATGAAGAAACGAGTGACTGTACATTGTTATCGCTAAGGTTTCCTGAATGCTTCGCAGCTCTGTGAATGTTTAAAGGTCAAGGCAGGTCGCTGGGTAAAATGTTTTTGTCAGTGCTGCTGTTGCTTTCATACCGGGGCTGAGTCCAAGACTTGCCAGAGATTGTCCTCAAAGACACTGTGAGTATCCAGCCTGTCCTGTTCAGTTTCAGAACTTATTTTGTTTTTACATTTTCTGTCTCATAAGGTCAGTGTGACTGATTTAAATTAGTAGAATGTGATTCCTTTGTGTCCAAAAAGCTGTCTGATGCTATAAGTTGGATCAGCTTTACTGCTTTTTATGAGACTCCACTTTCACTCTGCCCCTCCTACCTCTACCCATCTACAAGTCTCATTACATAAATATAACATGTGACTTCATAGCTCAAATCATCTTAACAAGTCTATTTTGATTCTTTTTTGCCCCTGAAAAGCGCCACTAAGTGTTAAGTATTTTATTGAGCGTGTATATTTGCATTTTCTGACTTGCTTTTCCCACTTATTGATGTACTAACAATGAGCTTGTCAGCCTTTCAGTGAACTTTTATGCTGAGTCACAAATTGTGTACAAGATCGTGGCTTACCTTTGTGAAGATGCTGTCTGATGACATGACCGCTCCTAATGAAGTCTTGCTGGTTTAAAAATAACAAACTGAATCTGCCTACTCTACATTAATGCTAATTGCATGATTTATCCAGAAACCACATATATCAGCGTGTGTTTGATCACCTTGCCAAGGGCTCTTGAGTATGCGGTTTTTCATTCAAGCACTAATGACTTGGAGTAATGACCAGGGGAAATCTCTTTAATTAGTTTGAGTGTTTGATTGAAATGAAAATGTGTGTACTCCAGAGCAGTAATGGCACCTGATCTTACACTGCTGACTTAGATTTCTAAGAAAGCTAGCGAGCGGGGCAGGTTTAAGAAGAAAAAATAGATATTCTTTGAAACATTTCAAAAGGCTGTTTAAGAAGCTGCTGTTTGGCTTTGTGCCAGGTGTTGCCTTTTCTTACCCAAACATGCCATAATGTACTATAGCCAAATTTGCCTTTGAAGTCATAGTGATATATTGATCATTTTTATCATGTGATATGTTCAGATTTATATATATTTGTGCCGGTCACTCAAGCCAGGATAAACTGTAATGAATCCATGTAGTCAGTGTCACAGGATTCACTCTAAAGTTAAAGAGCTGTACTAAGTAAATTATATCTTTACATTTTTAAATGATTGAATCTATGCATTGTATTCCTTAATTTTATGTTGCTATTGTTATATTTTTCATTTTCTTTGAACTTATGACAGAGATATTTTATTGTAACATAGCGCTGTGAGATATTATGGTGTTGTTGTTGTCAAAACTCTATGTTCCAAATAGTTATATGGGAAAAAATGAAGTTTATTTAGAAAATAGATGATGCAGTAATTAATATGCTAAGCTTTTGTAAACTGACATTGTTGTATTTCTTGTATTTAGATAACGTTTTTAGAAAATAGCATCAAAAAGCAAATCACTCAAATAAATGGAAAGAGATATTGCATTTTTTAAATGAAAAACAAAACATTTAGTCTGTCAGAGAAAGTTCTGGACAATTCTTTTTGTAATTTTATGATAGAGAGATATCACACTTTTACTTACATATCCTCGTAAAAAGAGGAAGAGTTCCCAATACATATTTTAAAATAAAGCTCTGTTACATTGAACTCATATACAGGAGTAAATTGGAATTTTGCTGTGTGATTTGCAATCAATAAGAATATGTAACTTGTTCAATATTAATGTATTAAGACCTGAATAAATGTACTTCTGTGTTAAAAATGCGTCATTTCTCATTCAAAAACAACAAAAATAATGCATGCAAAGGTTTCAATCGGTCCATTGGAGTTTCAATTTGCTTCAAATATGTTCAAGAGACGATACATGCATATATATAAAATGTACTTTTTCTAATTAAAGGTGGGGTAGGTCATTCACTTCAGAAACACTTGTTATATTCCATGGAATGCTCTTAACATCCCGATAGCAATGAATATATTAAATGCTTTGACAATAAATACATAAAAACATTTCATCTGTGGAAGCCGTAGTGCTGTAAAAAGCACGACCAATCATCTGAGCCGGCCCGGCTAAAATAACTGGATGGCCTACCTGCCTGTCAACCTTCCATCTGTGCACAAACTTATCTCGTGCCCTCATTGGTCATGTGCGCGTTCGTGTGTGTTGGAGGAGGGGCTCTGTAAGGAAGTCTGAAGGAAGGAGCAGATTTTTTCCGGTTGTGTACTTTCAAAATCTAGCGCACTCGAGCTGGTTTCTCCATTCTTACCTATCCTACCTTTAACCTCTTAAGCACGGCGGTCCCCCCATTGGACCCCTCCCACCTTTTTGTTTTCGAGATAATGTCTCAGGGCTTCTTAACATTTATGAAACTATTAATGTGTAGCACCAGATTAACGGGAAGAATCTCAGCTAACTGAAGATATGAACCATTATTACCAAAACAAAACCCAAGTCTCATAAGAAGGGTCTAAATGACCCCTGAGCGAAAAAATTCGAACGCACTGCGGCACACAATTCAAGATAAAGATACCCTTATTACTTATCGTAGCTGCACATACAATATAGCCTATTAAAGCTGAGACTTCACTGATTATTTAGCTATAGTATCATCACTGAGCGATCCGAACTTGCGACAGGGGAAGCAAACACAGACATCACAACACGTACCTTTACGGAGCTTTTACGGCAGATCGTCTCACCGTAGCTGTCAATTAGGTCAAAAGACGGGTTCAATGGCATTAAAACGAAAAAGAAAATGTCTACAACTGTTGATCCATAGGTTGATAATGTACCTGTACCTTTTAAAAAATTATTTATAATCCATAATTCCATTTTTTATGTAAAAATCGGAGCCGAAAAGTTAGCTGCTAATGGTAGCCACCAGAGTGTATGCAGCTTCCGGTTTTGGTAACGCGTCACTCTTACTCCTTATTTGTTAACGTTTTGGTGTGTAGAACGTTCCCTCGATTCCATTGGCTCTAGCGGTTATAAAGAGATTTCATTCATCAAAATCGACCAAGGGGGGCCAGAGATAGGTCAAATCCACCCAAATGACCCCAGAAGTGGGGGTTTTTGGCTAAATCTCTCTAAAAAGGTCAAATTTCACTTGTTTTGCATCAATCTTGATACAGGGTACTTATTATATGTTGTACTTTGGATTCCTAAAGCTTTTAGTCTACTAACCCATCATCCAAGGGTAGTTTTCACTATAAGTAAACAATTATTTTTGGACGGACACTATAATTTACAGTTTTTTACTATGTAAAATCTGAATTTTCTTTAAAATAAAAAACATCTATATTGATTCTGACTTTTCTACATCCAACTCACAGGTTTATCATTACTTTGAGAATAAAGATTATTAATTTAACCCTTTTAGAAGGGAAGATATGGTCATTTGTTCTGGGAATGTCATTTTCGAGCCTGAGACCTGAAAAACAGGCTCAGGGCTTAAGAGGTTAAGGTATGCATAATTGTGACACAATAGTCAATGGAGGATTAATAGGCTAATTTGGCTGGTTAAACTTCTGCTAAGCTAACAAGTGATGGCTATTTTATTTGATGGCTATGTCTAAAGCCAGAGCTCAGGGCCACTATAATGCTGAATCCTCCCTCCAGAGAAGCCCGTCAACAATATTTGTCTACCCAAAACTCCAACATTGTATTATCTTTCTTCTTTAGCAGTGAGTACCCTAATACCTAAACTCCATAATAGCTTTTCAAGAGATTATTGTCAGAGGCTGTCTGGCCTGATGTCACTTTCATCCCAACTAAAAAGCCGACTGACATTTCCAGGTCAAAGTGACACATGTAGAGGAAGCCCTTGGTGTACAAGACAGAAACCATTGCCAATGAACTCAAATTATATATTGAGAATGGCTATACAAAGGAGTTTCATAGAAATTTGACGTTGAGGAACATTTAGAGTTTAGTAGGATTTGAGAAAGCGTGGCTTTGGTTATGTTTGGAATAGAAAAAAGAACTAGTCGTGAGCTAGATAGAAAACAACAGCTGTAGATTGGCAGCTATCAACCTATGGTCTTAAAATTGAAGTATACGCATAGTAAAATAATTATATTTCCTGCCTGGTGCAGTCTGCACACTTTACTGGAAAGTATGCATTGTCACAGGAGGGTAAAAGATCCAAAAACAGGAGATTTAAGCCATACTGTATGCAGAGGGTTTGTTTTTATAAAAGACAAAAAAATGTCTACTTGTGTGCTGCACTCCCAGTCCTGGCGTCTCATTTCTTCTCTACAATGATTCCTCCTAGATTTTCCTTACAGCCACATTCCGCACCGTGCACCCCCTACCACTGAACCCATTCACCCCAGACAGCAAACTGCACAGCCTCTCTGGCCCCAGTGTCTTTGACTTTGAGTTGTGGGTGAAAGATAACCTTTCACTAGACAAGCCACAGGGGACTATAGTCTCATAAAAAGGCCCTGGCTAAGAAGTTGCAGTCTACACTTGTTCACACGTTCTAGTGCCATTTGTCTTACTTCACTTTTTTGTTTCTTCTCCTTCTCGCCTACAGGGCTGGATTTCACACATACGAACATGTCTGTGAAATGAGTATCAGCTGATCATATGAAAACCGCATGAATAACAATGAGTTGAGCCACTTCTATGTTGAAGATAATTTGGAAGGCTCCACATAGTTTAAGAATCGGCACATTGTATGTTTCACCTCCCCGTGTCCTTTTAGTGTTTGCATTGCTTTACAGTGCACAGAAATGTGGGCCAAGGTTTTGGTGTCAGAGCAAAGTAGGAGGGAAAGGGAGAGGGGGGCAGAGAGGACGCTTGTGAGCACATAGCTGAGGAATGTGGGTGTGGACTCCTGCCAAAGGCATATGCGATCCTTATGTTCCCCTGGGTGAGAGAAGGCAAAATGCGAGTAGACGGCTGGGGCCATGTCAGGACACAGACGCAGTGTGAGGACATGGAGTTCACTCTCTTTGCTGTTTTTCTGTTTTTACATTCCCATCCTCAGATTAACTTGTACTTTCATGTGCTCATATATCGGATTAAAGACATATAAAGAAAATAAATTATTTATTGGATAAACAAAAAAAGAACTGGGACAGTTGGGTTATTCTTAATTTGCAAACACAAGACTCTCAATGCGATAATACTTGGCCAACAATCAAATCAGCAACTCCCTGGTTTTCCTTCTTGGTTTTATTCAAACCTTTATTATTAATAATAATGTAGTTGTTTGATCCGTCATATTCTGAAATCATACCTGAAATTAGAGAAGCATGTACTTAAAGTTTAAAGAGATGCTCCCAATTACAAAAATAGCAACGGGCATGTGTTCATGCAGAACTGCGTTAAAATGTTTTGCCGGCTCAATACTTTTCATTGGGTTATAGCTCTGTCCCTGTCATGTAATTACACTGTGTCAAAATGCTCAGAAACAGGATGATCACATCCAAATCCAAAAATGTCATAGTTTGGGACTAGTTTGATCTTGATGTAAGATAGCTTTATTGTGAAAAACATCTTTGAATTTTAAATCTGAATGTATTGGACCCTGACTGTGTAATTGGGTTTGAAAATAGCACAAGGACTTTATTAAACGACTAAATATATTGAAAAGGGACCCAACTGGACTAATTTAAAATGTAAATAGGGCCATGCAAAAACACTTTTTGGGACTAACTGTATCTACTGTATTTTATCACACTTATCTTTTCCATCTATCATGCAAGCCTGAGCATGCACAATTGTGTGTGTGAGTGTGTGGGTGTTGGAGGTGTGTCTCCTGGGCCCTGTAGGTGAAGCAAATGAGTCTCAGAGAGACTTTGTGCCCAAAAGACACAAAGCAATGGGGCCTGTAACTAGTGAAGTGCCTATGTGAATGGCAGACCCATGGGTGGTCACCAGCATTAGCTGAGCCCTCCTGTTGCACTACACTACAAAAACTCAAAGTCTTGTCAAGTATATGTGTCTAATATCTAGTCAGAATGTCTTTACACCTGATATAAGACATAAAAACATAATAACTTCAGAAGTAACAATGCAGTGAGATATCGGGTCTTGTTTTTAGACAATGCATCATCTTGTTAAGTCAAACAATCTTATTTTGAGTTGTATCTCAGATGGAACACATATTCTTTCACATATTTATTAGAAAATCACCAACTACCTTGCCAACACGCAGCTCTGGTTAGTTCAGGTACCCTTCTGGTTGTCCCAAATGCCCCAATGGTTAGCCAAATGTACCTTATTCTTGGTGCCAAGGCGCTTCCACTTGGCCAAGTTTTCTTTAAATTGCCTCAAGCATTTTCTGGTGGCTTCAGTTCCCCTCTAATTGAGCACAGTGTCCCTTTGGTTGGCCCAAATGCTTCTCAAGGAATTGCAGCTTCAGTGAACCTCTGGTTGGCCAAGTTCCCCTTCTTGTTGGACCCAACATCCCTTTGGTCGGTCAAAGTCCCCATCTTGTTCGCACCAATGTCCTCCTAGTTGGATTTAGTGCCCTTTTTGTTGGACCCAATGTCCGTCTAGTTGGCCCAAGTGCCCTTCTTTTTGGCCCTAATATCTTCAGGTTGGCACAAGTCCCCTTCTTGTTGGCCCCAATGTCCTCATGGTTTGCTCAAATGCTGCTCTGACTTGCCCAAGTGGCCCTCAGATTGACCTAAGTGCCCCTCTAGTAATCCCTTGTATATGTCCCAAGTTCCCACAGTTTTTCCACTTGCCCTTTTGGTTGTTCCAAGTGCTTCTATGTTAAGCCCAAATGACCCTTTGGTTGGCATGAG